GAATCCCAAAAACATTCTAAGCCTTGTCCTTCTTCGTCTCTTTGCACTTGGGTGATGAGCTTCCAGTCACCTCAGTGTGCCCAGGTTCTATCCTGCCTGCCAGTATGACTGCTTGAGGGCAGTGGGTCCCAGGATTCTTGTTGGTACAGGATACAGGAGGTGGACCTGGCTCACTGAAGAAGCCCGAGTCTCAGGCTCTTGATTGTGGGCCTGAGTGTTGTGCTGGAACCTGGGGTTGCTGCTGTTAGGTTTCTTGGGGTCTGGTTCTCTGGGCATGTCTATCAGGAGAGAGTGCAGGCCCATGGCACAGTGGCCACTGTCCACCCATGAGGGTTTGTGCTCTTCCAAGCTCTTGCTCATGGACTGTGGGTTAAGCATGGCAAGAACAGCACTGTTCTCGGCCATAGGAGAATCCTTCAGCCACCCTGGAGGACCTGGAGAAGCCAGGTGTGGATGAGGAGCCACAGCATGTGCTCCTGCGGTATGAGGATGCCTACCAGTACCAGAACATCTTCGGGCCGCTGGTCAAGCTAGAAGCTGACTATGACAAGAAGCTCAAGGAGTCACAGGTGATGTGGCTGGCCCTCTAGTAAAGGGTCTCCCAAGTCAGGGACTCTTCTGGGGCTTGACCCTGGATGGAAGCAGGCTCACAGACGACATCAGGCCAGGGAGAACCCCATATGTCTGGTTCACAGCTTTGTCCGCAGCTCCAAGAACATCTCTGGGAGGTGGGGCCCAGGCCACTGATCCCTCATGCGCCCTCTCTCCCCCCAGAGCCTGTCCGTGTGGGGTTTCCTGAGGCTCTCTGCAAAGCTTGCTGCTGGGACCGGCTTAGGCAGCGGGTGTTGGGGGGTCCTGGTTGCTTCTTTCCCAGACATTGGAGTTCCTGGCTGTGAGTGCTGTGCACTGCACCCCAAAGGCAGTACTGCACAGGCATGGCCTTTCTAGAGGCCCTGGCCTGTGGGGAGCCCAGCCCACGAGTGGGTGGGGGGCTAACTGGGCCCCTGTTTCTCGTGTGTTCAGACTCAAGATAACATCACGGTCAGGTGGGACCTGGGCCTTAACAAGAAGAGAATCGCCTTCTTCACTTTGCCCAAGACTGACTCTGGTAATGAGGATTTAGTCATAATTTGGTTAAGAGGTGATTTTAAGTTTTAAAATATTTGTGACCATAAGTAGCATAAAATTCCTAGTTCCCCTGTATCATGTCCCTTATGTGAACTCTGCATGGTGGAGGCCATGGCCCTCTTGAAAGCACTAACTCTGCTGCTTTTTTCTGCAAGATATGCGGCTCATGCAGGGTGATGAGATCTGTCTGCGGTACAAAGGGGACCTGGCGCCCCTATGGAAGGGGATTGGCCATGTCATCAAGGTCCCCGATAGTATCCTTTGCCACGTATGCTGGGAGGACGGGTGGTGCAGCAGGATGCCTGGCTGTCCCTGGGGCCTTAATATGGCCGATTCCCTCTGTATCTTCTCTCTGTGTGGGACATGCGCATGGTGGTGCCATATATGCCTTGCTTAGAGGCTACCCCACCACTCACGCTGTGCGTGTATGTGTGAGCGAAGCTCTGTTTTCGTGCGCCGGGGGCCTGACTACAGTAGTACCTTTGCCTGCTAACCAAGGGGAGCTGGTGTAGCGATTGAAGCCAGAGCCCCTGTGGAAGGTGACTTTTAACAGGAAGCAGACTTAACTCAGTGGCCAGATTACGGTGATGAGATTGCTATTGAGCTCCGCAGCAGTGTGGGTGCCCCCGTGGAAGTGACCCACAACTTCCAGGTGGATTTTGTGTGGAAGTCGACCTCTTTTGACAGGTTTGTCTGCCGATGGCCCAAGGTGCTAGGGCCATACCCTTGGGGGCCACCTCCCCCTCCAGTACCTGTGGCCCACGTGGGTTCTGCACTGGCTCTGTTTGCAGGATGCAGAGTGCGCTGAAGACCTTCGCTGTGGACGAGACCTCTGTGTCAGGGTATATCTACCACAAGCTGCTGGGCCACGAGGTGGAGGACGTGGTCATCAAGTGCCAGCTGCCGAAGCGCTTCACGGCTCAGGGGCTCCCTGACCTCAACCACTCTCAGGTGACATGGGGCCCCTGAAGCCAGGGCCTGTGGGGGATGTGGCCGTCACAGCTCTGCTGATGGGCTGTCCTTGCAGGTGTACGCTGTGAAGACCGTGCTGCAGAGACCACTCAGCCTCATCCAGGGCCCTCCAGGCACAGGCAAGACTGTCACGTCAGCCACGATTGTCTACCACCTAGCTCGGCAGGGCAATGGGTAGGTAGTCAACAGCAACAGCCTTGTGGGTGGACGTGGCAGTGTCTTGTATAGCCTGGTGGTTTGCTTCAGCCCTGCCAGGACCACATAGCAAACACAAGCAGTGTCACCATACAGGCACCTTGTATGGCCCACAGCCCACAGGCCCACCTCGCATTAACAAGAGGGTGAGGGTGGCATTTAGCTGATAGTGGCTTAGCAGGTGACAGGAGGTTTTGCTTGTTCTACCTTGGCATGGATGCACCTGCCAGTCACAGCTATGCAGCTTTGCCGTGGACTCGGCTTTGCTGAGCCATGGGCGATGCTGACTGTCTGTTCCACTGTGTGTAGGCCTGTGCTTGTTTGTGCCCCAAGTAACATTGCCGTGGACCAGCTCACAGAGAAGATACACCAGACAGGGCTGAAGGTTGTACGCCTCTGCGCCAAGAGCCGCGAGGCCATTGACTCCCCGGTGTCCTTCCTGGCCTTGCACAATCAGATCAGGAACATGGACAGGTGAGTGTCTCTAACAGAGGGCCCGGTACAGGCTGCAGCCTGCGCTGGTGCTGACTCCTGCCGTGTGTTCTGTAGCATGCCTGAGCTGCAGAAACTACAGCAGCTGAAGGACGAGACAGGCGAGCTGTCGTCTGCAGATGAGAAGCGGTACCGGGCACTCAAGCGCACAGCTGAGAGAGAGCTGCTGATGGTGAGTTTGGGGCCAGCCTGGGAGCCTCAGCTGGGGGCTGCTTCCTGTGGGCATGGGCCTGAGAGAGCTGTCCACATCAGAAGCCTGGAAGATGTTGAGGGTGCCTGTGCCTTTGCTTTGGAGAATTTGGAGGTTCCTGCTCTCCTCAATCTATACCCATAGTCAGGGAGACAGCTGCTGTCACTCCCTGTCGGCCTCCCGGCTCTAACAAATAAGTCCACCAAAATTGGAGTCTCGGCCGTGGGGGGCTACCAGCTCAGCATTGTTCTGGAGACGGTTGGCAGACACAGCTGTCTGTGCTGGGCGGTGTGCTACAGCAGGCTGTGCCTGCTTGACAGTTGATGCTTCTGGTGGCCTGTGATGCTCATGCGTGCTTGGGCTAGGGGAGGATTGGCTTATGTACTTGCTGGAGAACTGCATGTGGAGAGCCAACCTGAAGCAACATGCAAGACCCTGTCAGAACAGCTTGTACATGTGCACACAGGTCTTGGGCAGCTATAGAGCAGGGCTCTCCAGGTACCATCTTAAGCCATCTGTCCATGTGAGGTAGCCCACACATGTGTTCTGATGCCTGTGCCTTCCCCAGAATGCAGATGTCATCTGCTGCACGTGTGTGGGTGCTGGTGATCCGAGGCTGGCCAAGATGCAGTTCCGTTCCATCCTCATTGATGAGAGCACCCAGGCCACTGAGCCTGAGTGCATGGTGCCTGTGGTCCTCGGGGCCAAGCAGGTGGGTGCCTGCCACTCCTGTGGCCCCTGACAACCTCTTCCTGTGGTGGTGCTGGGTGACACAAGACCTGCCGCCGCCTGGTGTGTGGGCAGTGTGCACAGAGCAGCCATCTCCCTGCCTAGGGGTATTCATTCATAGTTAGCTTTTAGATGGTGGAGGTTTACTCCAGTCCCTTGCGGGAGGCACTTAGACTTCCCAGAGCCTGAGGTGTTGATCTGAGGGACTTCTTGCTGCAGCTGATCCTTGTGGGCGACCATTGCCAGCTGGGTCCAGTAGTGATGTGCAAGAAGGCAGCCAAGGCCGGACTGTCACAGTCGCTCTTCGAGCGCTTGGTAGTGCTGGGCATCCGGCCCATCCGCCTGCAGGTGCAGTACCGCATGCACCCCGCACTCAGCGCCTTCCCGTCCAACATCTTCTACGAGGGCTCATTGCAGAACGGCGTCACTGCAGGTAACAGTTGGGCCATGCCTCATGGCTCCTCCATAAGGCCTTCCTGGTGCCACTCACCACAGCTCCTCAGGCACAGTGCTCTGCGGCCGCATGCTCTGGAGTGTATGGTATATGGTGGACATACAGAGCTGTCTGCAAATTCCCATCTTCATGGGAATTCTGGACTAGCTGTGCCTTTCAGCATGGTCAGGACACGCAGTAGCTCCACCCCCTCAGCTGTTGCTTTATGCTGGGTGCTGAGCTAGGTGCCTCACAGAGACCTTGGCCAGTCTTGTGCTTAGAACTGAGCTGCCCTGACAGCCCTTTCCTTGTGATGGTGGCTGAGATGTCACCTAGGTGAGGAGGACAGGGTGAACTGTCAGTGTGATGAGACCAGGAAGGTGGGTTGTGCGGGCCTGTCTCCTAAGGTCACCAGCTGGTAACAGCTGTCACCTGCAGTGATCTGTGATACTAGGGGTACCTTTGAATGTGGTTCTGGCCCTGTCCTGAGACTATCTATGGTGATGACCCCTTCACGGTTTTTTCACAGTGTCCATTGGGAGGGCCTAGGGGCCCTGGGCAGTAGATAGAGCAGCTGAAGAGGCCACTGCCTGAATGTGGGCTTGCTGTGGTGTCAGATGGGCCACAGTTACACAGAAGGGCCTGGAACTATCTCAGACACACACCTGCCAAGCTGTTTGTTCCCTGGAAGCTACTTTTCTCATGGCTCAAACTTGTCACTGTGTCAAGGCTGACGCAGGAAGCAGCTGGGCCCAGCCGTCCTCCATGAAGCCTGAGAGTAAAAAGTGGAGCAATTTGGCCAAAGGAGAAAAAGGCTGACTTGTCTTGCAGCATAAAGTTATTTTTCATGACAATGTAAGAGTACTCGCTTCCACAGCACATAACACTAAAAGTGAGATGACACAGAGAAGGTTAGCATGGCCCCTGTGCAAGGATGACATGCAAACGTGAAATATGAAACGTTCCATACTTAAAAAAACTGTAAGAGCTGGACATGGTGTCTCCCAGCTTTAATCTCAGCACCCAGGAAGCAGAGAGGCAGGATTGCTGTAAGGTCAGGGCCAGCCAGGGCTGCATAGTGAGATAGAGCCTATCTGAAACTAGCACACACAGCTTCAACACAGTGCCTTTATTTCTCCATGAGGCTGTGATCTGATGCCTGCATCGGATGAACTGTGACAGCAAAGAGCCTGCTCAGGGCTGTGCCTCTGTGGCTGGCATGTAGGTCCCGGCAACCACGGTGGGGCACCAGCACTCTGCTGGCCAGGCCCTAGCTGCACCTGCTCTGCCCTGTGTGGCTGCTGGGGCATGGGAGGGCTCCTGGGTGCTGCCTGTTGTCGGCTGCTTGTGATCACCACTTAGTCAGTACGACTTCTTGTGTTCCCAAGAAGGCAGAGGTGTCTTAAACAGTGTTGGCCTGCCCCTTTGTTGTCCTGCTCTGTCACAGGCCTGTGGCTCAGGTGCCCTGGAGGTGGTGCTCCTAGCGCAGCGACCTTGCGGCCCTCAGTGTGGGTGCACTTGGAGCCAGCCGCTGGGGCTTCTCAGCACTGATGCCGTCTGTCTTTCCTGACACAGCTGATCGTGTCAAGAAGGGCTTTGACTTCCAGTGGCCACAGCCTGACAAGCCCATGTTCTTCTACGTGACGCAGGGCCAGGAGGAGATTGCCAGCTCCGGGACGTCCTACCTCAACAGGTATGCAGCTGAGTGTCTCTGGCATAAAACCACTTTCTCACCCTTGCCTCGTAGACCCAAGACCATGGCATTTTATTTCCTGGAACATTCTGCTTGTTGTATGAGGGGCAAGGCATGAGCAAGGCTGTTGTTTCTCCTGGGGCCTCAGGAGAAGGTAGGGCCTCCAGAGAGCCCTTGACTGCTGGAGGTCTATCAGGCTGGGACCTATGGGGACCCTGGCACTGACAGCCAGGTGTTCTTAGGACGGAGGCAGCCAATGTGGAGAAGATAACTACGAAGCTGCTGAAGGCGGGTGCGAAGCCTGACCAGATTGGCATCATCACACCCTACGAGGGCCAGCGCTCCTACCTGGTGCAGTACATGCAGTTCAGCGGCTCCCTGCATACCAAGCTCTACCAGGTACCCTGTGCCCGTCTTCTATCCCTGTGAGACGATGCCTGTCAGTGCCCTGTGGGCCATGGCTGAGTGGTTCTCCTGATGACCTGAGTTTACTCCCTGGGACCCCCGTACTGGAAGTAGAGGACTGATGAAGTTCTCTGTTGTCATTGCGGTGGGATGTATGTAAGGGCACATAGCCAATGTCCTAAACTAATACATTTTAAAATGTGCCCTGAAGTGGGAGCAGTTAGAAGCCAGCACAAGGCCACACATTGCCAGCATTGGGGTGCCGTCAGGCACAATCAGTGCCACAGAATGCCCTCCAGGCCATGCTGTAGCCAAGGAATGTGGTGGCATGCCTTGAATGTCAGTGCTCTGGTGGCCCAGGCAAGTGGCTTCTGAATTTTAGGTCAGCCTTGCCTGTAAGCGTCAAGACAGCCAGAACTATGCAGTAAGAATTTGTCTCAGAGAGCAGTCTGGAGTTATGCAGTAAGGGGCAGGGCAGTCGGTACCGCCTGGGGGATAAGGCTCTTTCAGTCTAATGGGAACTTAGCACTTGGTCCTGGACGTGTGACAGATGCAGAGCTCTGGCGGGTTTTGTGTTGAGGTTGGCACCACAGCACACGCAGTCTCTGCTTGTCTGTGATGGGCCTGTGGGCTGTCTGTCACTGCGGACTTGGGGCTTCGGGCTGTGCTGTGCTCGGTGATACAGCTCCTCCTGTGCACCTGAAGGAAGAGGTAGGAGAGCAAAGGGCCAGCTTGTGCTTGACGGGACACTGTCTCCCTCAGGAAGTGGAGATCGCCAGTGTGGATGCCTTCCAGGGCCGGGAGAAGGACTTCATCATCCTCTCCTGTGTGCGTGCCAACGAGCACCAGGGTATTGGGTTCCTAAATGACCCCAGGCGTCTCAACGTGGCTCTCACCAGAGCAAGGTAGGCTGCTGCCCATTGCTGCCATCCACCCTGCAGCCAGGAACAGAAAGCCCCTCCTCCACTCTTTTCTCCCCGTGTCTGTCTTGTATGTGTGCTCTGGCACTGCATCTGAGATCTGGGCATTATGGCCTCCTTAGTGCCCTATCAGTTCAGGAACACAACATGACCCTGTAGGTCACAGAGCAGGCCCACGGCAGGCACCACCTGGGGCTCTTCTTGTGGCTTTCTTCTCAGCTTGGCTCGTGGTTGGTGTCAGCTGCTTTTTAAGGTGCTGCCTCATGTGTTGGCCAGGGTTTGGCACAGGGTCAGGTGGGTGTGGCCCGGGCTCTCAGCGTGTCGGTTGCTCTGCAGGTACGGTGTGATCATTGTGGGTAACCCAAAGGCGCTGTCAAAGCAGCCTCTGTGGAACCACCTGCTGAGCTACTACAAGGAGCAGAAGGCGCTGGTGGAAGGGCCACTCAACAACCTGCGGGAGAGCCTCATGCAGTTCAGCAAGCCTCGGAAGCTCGTTAACACCGTCAACCCGGTGGGCCAGGGGCTGCTGGGAGCCGGGAGAGCCGGGCGCTCTCAGCAGCTGCTGCTGTTGACTGACACATTCCTCGATCTTGTGCCACCCTGCAGGGGGCCCGGTTCATGACAACAGCCATGTACGATGCCCGGGAAGCCATCATCCCCGGATCAGTGTATGACCGGAGCAGCCAGGGTGAGCCTTCCTGGAAGCACCGGCGTGCTTACCTCCCCATGTCCCAGTCTGCACCCACCCCTCCCAGGCTCCGGCCCCCAAGGGCTGCTCTGGCCTCTGCTAATGGTTTGCACCGTGGCCCCTCGATAGTGCTGGGGCTGCCCTGTGTCCTGGGGCAAACCCATGACCACCTCAGTCAGTCTTGGCCTCTGCTTTCTGGAAGCTTCCAAGTTGCCTAGAAAGCGCCATCATGGCCAGAGTCTCAGCAGTCCCTGTCAGTTCTTCACCTGTACTGGCACCCTGCATGGCAGACACACTCCCCCTCCCTCTGATTCCTTGCTTGTCTGGCTGGACCAGTGGCTACTTCAGTGCAGCCAATGTCCACTGGTCCTGTCTGAGTCCAGGTGTCTTGCAGGCCGGCCTTCGAACATGTACTTTCAGACCCATGACCAGATTGGCATGATCAGTGCGGGCCCCAGCCACGTGGCCGCCATGAACATCCCTATTCCCTTCAACTTGGTTATGCCTCCCATGCCACCACCTGGGTACTTTGGACAAGCCAATGGGCCGGCTGCGGGTAAGTGGCTGATCATCACCATCCGGGCGCCTCACCTGACATGCTGGCTTAGCTGGCACTCGCCATCTTTAACTGCTGTCTTTCAGGCCGGGGCACCCCAAAAAGCAAGACTGGCCGTGGGGGCCGCCAGAAGAACCGCTTTGGGCTTCCCGGGCCCAGCCAGACCACCTTGCCTAGCAGCCAGGCCAGCCAGGATGTGGCCTCCCAGCCCTTTTCGCAGGGTGCCCTCACACAGGGCTACGTGTCCATGAGCCAGCCCTCCCAGATGAGCCAGCCTGGCCTCTCCCAGCCAGAATTGTCCCAGGTGGGCCCTCACCAGCACCCTGCAGAGGGGGCTGGGGGAGGGGAAGCCTTTTTGAGGAGTATGGCCCTGACTGGACTGTGCTATGGGCCCGAGCAAGCCTGTCTTCTGCCGCTGTGGCTAACAGTGTGGGGTGTGAGGGGGTGGGTGGGGTCTGCTGGGTTTCTTGGTCTGCTCACTCTGGCTCTGCTTTCAGGACAGCTACCTCGGGGACGAGTTTAAGTCACAGATCGACGTGGCGCTCTCCCAAGACTCCACCTACCAGGGAGAGCGGGCGTACCAGCACGGCGGGGTCACCGGGCTGTCCCAGTACTAGAAGGCAAGTAGATGTGGGCTGTGGGCAGGTTCCTCCTCAGCTGGACCTGACCTCTCACCCCGTCCTTGATCACAGGTGGTGGCGGAGGAGCTAAGCTCTGTGGCTTAGTCTATCAGCATCTTATTCTGGGTAATAAAATATAAAAATAAATGGATACCTGTTTTCCACTGCTAAAACTGAAGCACCACTGTGTGAGCAGCCGAGAGGAGAGGAAAGGAGAGGAGCGAGAGCGAGCAGAGAGCAGCCAGGGAGGACGATGGAGCGGAGCGCCGAGGAGCGGGGCGCCCCCTGCGGGCGGCGAGAGGAGAGAGGCCCGCACCGCTGCGAGGCCGGCCCGGCGCCGCGCCCACCAGAGGGAGAGGCCTCGCCAGGACCGGCCCGCTGTTCTTTTTCTTTGTTTCTCGTGATTGAGGGGCTACGTTTTAGCAGGACGAACTTCGCGTTTCTGTGCCCAGGCGGGCGGCCAAGAGCATCAGCGCGCGGTCCCAGCGCTAAGGGGTTTTATTTTAAAGAAATACGGTATTGGGGGTTTTTCTGTTTTTTGTTTTGTTTCGTTTTGGTTTTTTTTTTTTTGGTTTGTCTTTTTTTTTTTTTTGGTTTTTTTTTTTTTGGATTTTTTTTTTTTCTTTTTCTTTTTATCCTAAAGATTCTTTCAAAGGAATATGGGAAGTATGTGGATCAGTTTGTCTCTAAGACCAGAGTGGTGGACCTGGGAGATTTGAGACGCTTCCAGAGAGGCAGCACTGAGGAGCCCGAGCCCCGCAGCCTGGGATCACCGCCTGCACCGCGGCCGGAGGATTTGTTTTGAGTTTGAGCTTCATAGGCCGCAGGCGAACTCGTGAGCGTGACCAATGCGTGACGGCCCGCGGGTCCTTCCCCATTGTGGGTGGAGGCTTCAGTGCTGGGCGCCCTGCCCCGGCCCCCCACCTCCCGCGGCAGCCACCCAACCCCTACCCAGGCACCTGCGCCAATGCAATGGAACTTAATTTTTGGTCAAATTTGTTTTAAGCTTTTTGTCACCAATAAAACATGAGCAAACGACCCTGGCTTCCGCTTGGGCCATCCCTGCAGGGTGTCCCAGGCGCTCA